CATGTTTGAGGCCCAAACGACGCCAGGGGTTTTCTGGAAACATCATTCGTCGTCAGAGGGGCACGACAAGGTAAGTCGGCCGTCAGAGGGGCACGCCGCAAATAAACGCAAACTTCAGGGGCATTTCAAAAATTTTCCCATCTTTTTTTTTTGTTTTTGAAAGTGCATGGTTATTTTAAATGGCTTAAACTAAACATGGTATAAATAACTCTTTCATCTATACAAATGTCATATGAAAGTATGACAAAAGCCATAAGTCAAGCCCATAAGAAATGGTGACTTTGGAAATACCCTAGTTTAATATAAATGCACCATTCTCATAAACTCATTTGAAAGGCTCTAAGTGAAAGTCGTCAGACATTTTTCAAAAGTTAATGGCTGTAAGTGAAAGTCATACGAAGTGACATTTTTTGTAAAGTCAACTTTCATGTTCTAAGCAAAGACCTAACTACAAATGGACCTAAGCGAAGGCCTAACTACAAATGGCCCTAAGTCAAGGCCTAAGTACAAATATCATTTTAAACAACGGCCCTAAGCGAAGACCAAAGTACAAATATAATTTCAAACAATCAATATGGCGTTGAGTGAAAGCCACAATTAATCATAAGTAAAAAAAAAAAGGCTCTGAGTGAAAACCAGCAGACATACATTGACAGAAAACATATGATATGACTATTTTTTGACAATTTGAATATTTCTTGTATACAAAACCCATCTGAAACTGTGATATGAAACATGGCATATGATTTAAAATGGTCGTAAGTGAAGGCCACATGAATGATGACTTTAAGCGCTAACTACAAAGGCCCTAAGTGAAGGCCTAACTACAAATACCATTTCAAACAATGGCCCTAAGCGAAGGGCTAAATACAAATATCATTTCAGAAAATGAATATGGCCCTAGGTGAAGGCCATAATCAATCATAAGGCTGACTTTAAAGCCTAACTACAAAGACCCTAAGTGAAGGCCCAAGTACAAATACTATTTCAAACAATGACCTTAAGCGAAGTCCTAAGTACAAATATCATTTCAAATAAGCTAAAAACAAAAGGCTCTAAGTGAAAGCCACCAGAAATACATAGACACAAAACATATCAAATGACAACCTTTCGACAATTTGAATATTTTTTTTATACAAAAGTCATCTGAAACTGTGCCATTCTCTCTCTCTCTTTCTCTCTCTCTCTCTCTTTGTCTCTTTCTCTCTCTCTCTCTCACTTGTATCGACAAACGGAACAAAACTCTCTCTCTCTCTCTCTCTCTCTCTCTCTCTCTCTCTTTGTCTCTTTCTCTCTCTCTCTCTCTCTTGTATCGACAAACGGAACAAAACTCTCTCTCTCTCTCTCTCTCTCTCTCTCTCTCTCTCT